CCTGTTAGGACCCGAGGCTGTAATTGGTAGATCGAGGTGGCCGTCGATTGTGTTATAGCCAGGATTGGATGCAGATCCAATTTGTAGGCGGGATGGCTTCGTCCGCAGATGGCCAGGATCTCTCTCTCTCTCTCCTCCATCTTCTCTCTATACTCTATCTCTCTCTTAATTTTAAAGTTTCATTATACCCTCTCTTATTTTAAAGGTCCTTATGCCTATATAAAACTCTAAATGCTAAACAATCTGATAATCAAAATGATAATAAACAATATGGGTTTTTAATAAGTCATTTATAAAAATGATTGCGCTATGTCAAAATATATAGAAAGACTTTAAACAAGCTACTGAAAATACTATTATCACTTTTTTCAAATCATACTTGAAAATCAGACAAAAACTAAATACATATACATACCTACACAAATACATAAGGACATAAACCTCACATATTCACGATCCACCAAAAATGAGGCACTCACAATAACTACAATATTTACAACACAATTCTAAGACTAACAGCAACCCCATTGAACGTTAACATCAAAAGGATTGTATTCAGATTTACGACAACTAACTGTCGACCAATACAATCGCAATCTTTACTCCTGTTTTCAAACTACACGAAGACAGCAATAGACGAACATGGACACAATTGATATGCCTATCAGGCAACTAAAAATGAGCTGTATGAGAGATCCCCTTTCCTAAATTATGGAGTAAATACAGACTAGGAAGAGGTCTATACCCAATTGAACTAGCTCAGTCTATAGAACAATGCAGACGAAAATAATTACATCAGTGGTAGAAATAAATAAATGATAATAATGTCATAAAATAATGAATATCTTATAACTGAATAGTGAAAATAAACTCCCGCAGAAAGAAATACCAAATCCAAATGTCGACACAAATAACAATATTTTTGAGGAAAGAGACAGTCCCAGGTGGTGGTCATAAAATAAAATATTTTTTTTTATTAATTAAATATTAATACATTCTGATACATTAATACATTATTAGAATAATAATAATGCAATCAGCCACAATCAAGGACATTATGTATATAATATAACATAGAATCATTAATATAGAACCATAGTTCTATGTGTACATTCATATCATAAATACACGGCGTCCCGTAAGTACAGGAAATATTTAAAGAGGTGATGGTAGAACTCAACAGCAACAAAAAACTTTAGATAAATAATGGTTCAATTTTCCCCAGAAAAGAAGGAAAGTAAGACCCGTTTTTTGTTAAACAGGTAGCGAAGACTAAAAAAGAATTTAATTTAAATAATTAGCAGTTGCTTCACAGGAAACTAGACAAATTTTATTTCAAATGAAATTTTGTTCTGTTATTGCTAAACCCATAGACCCATAGAAGACTTTATAGGTAGATCGGCTTAACTAAGCTAAGTTCTCTTTTTAAAAATGGTGAATTGTTCGACACTTTTTTTCCATCGTCATCATACTATACTTCAGATATCTCACTTTTAAAAAAACTTCATATTTAATAAGCATTAAGTCAATATTAATTAAATTGTGGGTTTATTGAAGAATAAGTTAAGATTCACTTCACGTTGTGAAAAAAAATAATGTGATTTGATATCCTGTCACCTATAAGTACTCGTGTTCTTATCAAAAATAGCTACAAAGTTTTAATTTTTTTCTTTTTCCACAATGTGAGATGTATTATAATAAACTTAATTGTATAAATCCACTTTTAAATTATTTATTTCTATCTCCTCAACCTTTTAGGGGTCATTTTAGCCCTTACAAATTATTTATATTATATCAAATGAAATTTAAGAATAAATTGAAAGTACACACTATTAAAAACATTAAAATTTCCAAAAAAGAGTCAACAAAATTTAAATTTTGTTATATAGGTGCGTTATTTTAACTAATGTAAACAATGTGTTTTGCCAATTTGGTGGTGTTTTTCAAAATTGCAGTAATATCATTCTCCAATTCAAAGTTATTTCGTTGTGCTTCATAAGCATAACATTCAGTCAAAATGTGCCTCACTGTTAAATTGATCACGCAGCAGGGACACTGAGGGGATGTCCCCTTTGTCATTAGATACTCATGAGTTAGCCGTAAGTGGCCGATTCGGAGCCTTGTCAGAATTATTTCTCCTCTTCTATTCAACTCGAGGTCCGCTGGATTCGGAACTATAGAGGGCTCGGTCACTCTCAACTTATTGTCTCTTAAAACTTTTTTTTTTTTTTTCCTACGCCTAAGTAACGCCTGCTTCGTTAGCCATGCGTGCTCTTGCAGTCCAATACAATTTTGCTTTTCGAGCATAAAAGCTGTCCATTTCATTAAAGCAACATCTTATGTCCTCTAATGCAGGGCATGTATCAAGATGTTCTCCTGTCATTATGTCTAACATAGAGGGCATGTCGGGCTATCTTTTACACCTATGCGGTGGAGGTGCTTCTGAAGGAAATCGTGGCCTGTGAACATTCTAAAGCATGCCACGGCTTGCCCTCTAGGGAGGTCTCAAGGAATCCTGTCACTTTCTTCCAACAATCCACTCCACCGTTTCCCTTCAATTGTTTGTACATATTTCTCTTTCAGTGAACTTTGGAGGGTCTGCTTTATGATTCTTTTTGTTGAATCCATGGCCAGAGGAATATCGGGTTGGATCATTCCAGAACCTATTCTGGCCAGTTTATCAGCTTCATCATTTCCGTGGAGCCCGCAATGGCCTGGTATCCACTGGAAAGCGACTTCTGTCCCAATTTCCTTTAATCGGTTCAAATATTGATGGCATTTAGGAACATTTGGATTTATACTATATCCATTTTTAGGGACAAAATGGCTGCCTGTGAGTGAACAAAGAAAGCCACTTTCTTGTCTTTCCGTTCAATTAATCTCTCAAGGCCTAAGAGAATGGCTTTCACTTCCCCTTCAAAGTTTGTGGCTACCATATGTTCTAAAAACATAAAATAGATAGTTTTATTTTTATAAAATAAAATAAAAACTGTTTAAAGGGTGAAGTGATCGCGTCCGGACAGTTAGTCCACGTGCCCCCTGGATAACCCATAAACGATCACATTTATCGCCAACTCTTAAAACATGCCTGAGACCCTACCATTTCTTCAGAGCGTTTCTCTTTACCAAAGCTACTAGTTCTCTTGGAAAAGCATCCCCTACTGGAGTTTCTTCCGTGATTGATTGTTTTGCCATGATATCGGCTAGCTCATTACCTCTAATACCTGAGTGATCCGGTAACCACAAAAATTGTATCTTACATCCTACATTCTCCAATGTTTTTATATGCCTAACTGTATATATATATATATATATATATTACTTTTTTATTGTTTATACAGAGTTTTATTTTTATGTTATTTACAGATTATATATTCTGTAAATAAATATATGATTCAAGTTTAAATACAGGACTCAATAATTTTGTTCTGTTGCTAAGAGGAATGCTACAAAAAGGAATTAACAGGATGTAAATTTTTTATTTAGCCCTCTCTGAACGAGGGGTCCTTTGGTAGGATGGGGGGGACAGTGGAGGGAAGTGTGGTCCATTAATTGGGGGAAGGTAGGGACGGTCGTGTAGAGGTCACCAAACTTTGTCCACGGCCAGGCCCGCTAATATTACAAATTATCTTTTATCTTTATAGTATATTAAAGCCACCCAAACAATTAATTTGCTCACAGAATAAATTATTTCATGTTTTTCTTTACTACAAGGTTCTTACTATGTAAAAAAAAAATATTAAAATAGCTATACAGTCAAGTTAACATATAGGGAGCGACTGATCGATGGAATCGCAGTGTGTTTAAAACCCCGTAAAATCACATTGCACAAATAAGTCTCGATCATTGTCCATAAGCCATATTTAGTGTTTTCTAGCATCTGAGGAGAAAGCGCGCTTACCCCAGCCATGTGCTAACTGGCCTGAAATGCCCCCTTGATTTTGACGAAATTTCTTTGAAAAAGAATTTCCTAGAATTTTTTGGTTCTAACAGCTGATTCATTAGATATTTATCAGTTGTATGAATATTTTTAACGGGGTTTTCACTAATTTTTTTTTTTCTTTAATAATGTAACAAATTATCCAAAACAGGTATCCCAAGTTTGGGCCGATTTTTCATCACTTTTCAAATTGTTATCTACGGTTTTGATTCTTGAACGTTTTTTTTTTCTTTTTTAGATTTGAAGTTAGATATACAATACCTGAAACAGATGTTCCTGTATATCGTCCCATTTTACATCACTGGGCTTCCTACTTGTGACGCTAAATTTAATTCTGAGTATTAGGTGAATGTCTCAAGTTAAGGTTGAATTCCTAACTTGAAACAAACAAAAACAAAAAAAAATCTTCTACTTGGATTTTCAAAATGAGCTTACTCAAGTTTTTAAGCGAGACACGCATCCAGCTTTTAATGTATATATCAATATTATACTAAATATAACAAACAAACATTTTTTTGAACTTTATTTTTCAACTCACAACTGTTAGAGATTCCAACAACCAGTGAATGTTCAATCGGAAAGTAGAATAGAATAAGACATTGGTAGGTGTGAGGGAGATGAACGCCCAGGGGCACCCCTACCTATCGTGATTTTAATATTTATAGTTAATGAAGGAGATCCCTCAGGTTCTTTTGAGCCTCGTATTTTAGGTGTTATTTTGGTTGTTGCTATGACTATAATCAGCGAGCTGATATGTCCGCGTAAGTTATTGTGAAATGTTTTGTAGTGTGTTCTTATGTGACTGTTAACTAGCATTTGTAGGTCAGTAACTAAAGTAATATCACTAATTTACCAGGGAGCTTTGGCATCTGTAAAGTATGGGTCAAAATAGGCTTAAGTAACTAAGTTTATGTCTTCAATTTCTGTCTAAGATTAACATTTAAAAGGAGTGAATATAGCGGTCGTAGTCTTAGGTTTAATCTTTTTGTTTTGTTCTTGATAGGTGGGCTCCATGTCATTTTCTATAAAATATCAATTCCAAATATTAAACTTTATCTGTATGAGGACATTGGCACGATACACAGGAAGGCAAGTTTCACGTCGAAAAGTATTGGATTTTGATATCTTGTTAAGAGTATTGTATATTCTGCGCAAGTCGCTGTCAGAGCTTCGAAACAGTGTACAATATCATGTATGAAAAACATTTTAAATGAAAAATTATCCCAATTACGGAGACTTATTTGTACTAAAATAAACCATGAAGAGTCTATGATTCAGCTGTTGATGATACTAATGCGTTATGAAACAAACAACATACATTTAAAAAAAAATAGAGACCTCTGTTAAACATTATATCGTTGTTCAACAACATAGTTCACAATTAACATATTATAGTTCTTATAGATTTATTTCTGTTTCAGGTGTCATTCTTCTCAACAAGCCCCGAGCTGAGTAACAAGCAGAGATTCGAATACTTCACTAGGACGATACCCTCGGACCACCATCAGGTCAAAGCTATGGTGGAGATAGTGAAACTCCTGGGGTGGAGCTACGTGTCAATAATATATGAAGAATCCAATTATGGGATAAAGGTACATACATTATTTACTTTTTTATATCTTTTACTGCTATTGGTGATTTACAAAATTGATATTTTTATTCGTAAAATAGCTTCTAAGAAAGTGTATATCTTGGCAATGAATCAATCCTGAGTTCTTCCAATGTCTCCACAATAGGTGAATGGAAAATAAAAATTATCCTCCCTTATTTTTATTTTTTTATATTGGTCATACAGTCTTAACTTGAAATTATTCTCTGGAAATTGTTCCGCACCTCTTACAGTACTTTCTTCATATTACATGAAGTCCCTGAACGAATAACGGTTCTCACCTGAATAATGAAGAACTCACTCAGGTGAATCAGGCATTAATAACCAAAACAAATAATAAATAGCATTTAATCGCTCCACACCCAGTTAAATAGGATTCACGAGGCTACTGGAAGCAACTTGCACCGGTCGGGAGTAGCATTCATGATTATAATACACGACAATAGGGGATTGGGAAGAAAGGGTTGTGAAGCAATGGATAGCCTGCTAGTACACCATGTAAATCATGATTCGACATTGATGTGTGTTGATACATATATTTTCTTTTTTTTTGGAGGGGAGGAGGGGGCCTCTATATACCATGTAAATGTCTTTCTTTGCGGCATGAAGCTCTGCATGTAGCATGTTTGATAATTCGATCTGGTTTATGGTCTTCCATGTAGTCTCTTGCCTACTACTACGGCATTTATCGTTGCGTAGAGGCGTCCTGATGGATTGCTCAAAACCAAATGCCTCGTCCATCATAACCTCCTCGCCTTCATAGTATAAGGTAGTGACTGATCAGTTTCTTCCTGCAGTTATTTATTGTTTCTTCTCTTCCATGCGTTAAGATTATGATCCTAGATAGCTCTGGTCATCGTAGGAAGGAAATTTCTTACTTCTGTTTTTTTTAGTGCCGGTTAGAGACCAGGTTCGGTGTCGTATAACAGAACTGGCTTTATCGGATTGTACACGCTTAATTTGAAATTTCTAAATATTTATCTGGATTTTATTATCCTTGAAAGAGAGAAGAAAGGAAGAAACTATCTTTACAATGTATATAAATACTGTGACTCAGTGTTAGGAGTTGAAGAATTACACGTTGTATCCCATTATACCCACCCATTGCGTGGGATTAAATTATACTGTAGCCGTTTTAATTATACGACGGATGTAATCTACATTTAGCCAGACTAGCAATCCATTAACTATTTTTAAGAATTACAACATTAAAATTGATAAGAGAGACATTACATATGATATCATGCCGAGATAATCCTCCTTAATTATTCGATAGGATACAGAGTAAATCAAAAATACCCGAGATACCCGATAAGGTTCCGAGATTAACGAACAGTTGAGAGGAAATTGGCAACAGGTATCGGGACGGGTAATTAGAGTAGGATAACGATCAGCAATAAGTAACGGACAGCCGGAACCAGATTGTCCCCCCCCCTTAATATACTTCTCTACCTGTACCTGTACCTAACATACTACCTCTCTCTGTAAGCTGTATCTTCGCTACAGAATGTAGTATGCTTATATATTTGCCAACCGATAACCAAGCCTTATAACTCCTTTTGCTCAGCTTCTTTTCTAAAAACCAACAGTTCATTATAGATATACTTGTACGACATGATTTTCGAGATAAAATTCAATCACTTTAAATTATGTTGCCGCAGACTACCTATACAATATTACGTATATAAAACAATATACCCTGATAAGTGTCAGCCTAACATGAAAGTTGAAGAAAAAGAAAACGGGGATTGGCACAGTTGTTTTATTGTTTGAAAAAAAAGAGCTGCTCAAAGAAAGTTGTCAATCAATATCTTATGATATGAAGGCACGGAGGTTAAGATGGGCTGGGAATTTAGCTTGGAGCAATCTATCTAGAAGCCTCTATATAACAATGAATGTCTCTATAAAAGACAGAAGACAACGTGGAAGTATTAAAAATATATGGATAGACAGAATAAATAAACAGGCAATACAGCTGCAGACAACTGCAAAAGAAACAGACCAAGACAGGCAGAAATGGAGAAGTATGGTTCAGGTGGCAGAAGATCTATAAGATCTGTAATAAAAAAAAAAGAAATAAAAATATCTATTACCATACCCAAACTGGATCCAAGATAATCAAAATGAAGATTCACATAATAATAAATAGTTAGAGAAAGAATTATTTAATTATTATATAATAACTTCTAATGATTAATGACTATGTAACATTATCTATACAAAGCTCCTGGTCATGACCTAATCATATCACAGAACCTTAAACTGCTTCCTCAGAAAGCCATAATATTCCTCATCTATATATATACTGTACACTATGCTTTAACAATATCCCACTTATCCCTGTTGAACAATACCTAGGATACTTAGGACTCCACATGGACAAACGACTTACTTGGAATCATCCTACTAGACTGGACTGACAAGAAATCGCTCTACGTTTTCGACAACTCCAATACAATACTCCAATTTGTAAATAATTGGAAGTTTAGAGTGTTTGTCTATTAAGTGTTGGAGTTGTCGAAAACGTAGAATTATCGAAAACGAGGACTTACAGAATCGAGCTTAATAAGATATAGCTGTAAATAAGATATAATATTTAGTTATTTAAGAAGGACGTATGCTTTGCTGATCTGATATGTGACTTGTTGAATGGTTCTGCAGGCCTTCGAGGAGCTGGAAGTGCTGTTGGCGAAGCATAACATTTGCATAGCCGTGAAGGAGAAGCTGGTAAAGGATTCAGGAGTGGCCGAGGAGATTGCTTACGACGACATAGTTACCAAGCTCTTGACGAAGCCCAGGGCCAGAGGTAAGTCACTTTTTCTCTGTAAATTTGCTTTTCTACCGGCCCGTCCTCGTCCTTCAACTTTAATATCCTTTTTATCTCCTTTATTTTCCTTTTGTGCAGTTTGCTTTACTCAGGATTATCCTCGCTAATCTCTTCAGACTAATAAGGAGCTATTAAAATTAGATTTTCTTCAAGATTCACCATCGGGACTTTATTAAAACAATAATTTCTTCTATAAACTGTGTAGGCAAATGTTTTTGTTCTTTTTTTTTTAAGCTTCTAATATTCTTTAGTATTAATATTATCGTTGCTTTTTTTTTAATTTAATCAGAGATCAAATATTTCTTCCAATCAATTTAAATTCATTACTTACCACAAACTTGAAACAAATCAATAAAATACTATTTAATTAATTCTAGGAGAGCGGACATTTATAGTACGTGGTACAGACCCATTTTTATCGAATTATTAACATCCGCCTGAAACTTTGTAAAAAATTTCATCTCATCGTAACCTACAACTATTTGATTTAAGAAAACTCTTGAAATTCAACTCTTCTAACAGGATGGGGGAAAACTTTGTCTATTTGATTAGGTAATAACTACTCGTAAATTCCCATTTGCTTTCTACTTGGATCGTAAGATAATTTGATCACAAAATCGAGAAAATGGTGGCCTTCATCCGTTTAGCTTTAAGCCGTTTGGCGTACCCTACACTCCCAAATTTTCAAAATAACGAGGTTATATTTGACAAACAGCCCAATATTTTTGTAGGTTTATTTTTATCGATTTTGTGATCAAATTATCTTACGATCCAAGTAGAAAATAAATGGGTATTTACGGGTTTTTAGTACCTAATTAAATAAACAAAGTTTTCCGATCTCCAGATTTAAAACGCCTTAATTCCAAGAATTTTCATAAATAAAATAGTTGTAGGTTAGGATGCGATGAAACTACTTACAAAGTTTAAGGAGGATGTTAATAATTCGATAAAAAGGATTCTGTACCACGGTGCTGGTAGGTGATTAGGCCGATATCACGCTCAACCGTCAGGTTTTCTTTCTTAATTAACTATTTAATTAATTTTATTAATTAAACGGATTTGAACCTGAGACCTTGAGCTCTGGAAGTCAGAGCTCCTCCTCTGAGCTACTGAGATAACCCGCTCCTATTGTTTTGTTGTTTTTTTTGTTAATTTTTACACAGTTAGTACGTTGTTCATTTTAATATTCCACTATTTTTTCTGCAAATATTTTTGCTTTATGTCAACAATAATATCAAATCAATATTCACTTTCGTTACAAAACAACACATTATTGTTCGTCAACTAATTCCAAGCTAAATTAAAAAAAAAGGCACCTAAGGCTCACAAAAAGAAAAAAATGGGAATATAAAATAAGGAAATTAGAAGAATGTGTCACAAGCAATAGAAGAATTGCTTGAAAAATAACCTGGAAATTCTGTAGAATGAAAATACGTTTTTCATTGAAACTTATTCTGAGTTAGAAAAAATGTTTTTTTCCTACTCCTGTTGTCTTCAATTTCTAAGTCATGAGTCTTCTTCAGCAGCTTGGGACTGTAGTGGTCGTTTGGTTTTCTCTTCTTCGAGATATCCAGGAAGTACGTGGTTTACTAACCTGACGCGATCACAATTCACTCCCTCTTCATCAGAAACTTTCCTGAAGGATGGTTGGCAATCTTTTCCTTATACCTTCCACTCAGTTTTTTTTTTATGGGATAAAGGATTATCAGCCCTATACCCAACTCCCAACCTGGAGGAACAGGAGCTATAGTGTAAGATATAGGGATAGCTCATCTCTCTATGAATCTATTATGTAACACGCGCCGTTGTGGTCTAAGCAGTTGAGTGGTTCCTGGACTTATTAATTTTAATTTATAATTAATTATTTTATTTTTATTTTTTCTTACTGAAAAATATTACATTTAATCAAAATTAAAACTAAAGGAAAGACTTACTTTCCAAGTTATATCGTTCGTTCAAGGGTGAACAATGAAATCCATAATTGAAGCGGCCTATCATACGAAATTATTAAAACCCCTTGGAAATATATTCCAATCCGATCCGGATGAGGCCTATTCCTAAAACATTAGTCTTTGGCTTCTTGGGTAGCGAAGCATATTAGCATTAATAGTGGCACGGAGTCGATTCTCGTGACCACATTGATCGTGGAATAAGGATTCAGTTATAATCAGCTGGGAATTCACGATTTAATTTTTTTTTACTATTTGAAAAAAATGTATACAACACAAATTGGGTCTTTTTTATATAAGTGTCACCAGTTACTTTTAGTAACAGGTTATTTTAGCAGTCATTATTCAGAAACCTCAGCAGTCATAAAAGAGTAAATCGACAGCCACACTGCAAAAGTTACAAAGGACCATTTCTCTAGGAAATGAGTTTTTGAGCTTTTCTGGTAAATCTTGTACTATCGCATATTCCGATCCCACAAAATGAATTCAAGAATTATTCACTTTTTTCCGACGGCATTTTATATAAACCTGTAATTTAAAAAACAGCAAATTGTGGTGTAAAAACTGTAACATAGAGTGAAGGTTATAGAGATTGTGTTGTAACCGATATAACGTAGTGGAATGATCAATGTTTGGAAAGATTTGGCATAGACTAATGTATCAATTAGCTTTATTAATTGGCTAAAATTAATTTTTCACATACGCATTGTCTTCTTTTTTACATTTCTAAGAAATGGTGAGCAATACCAGCCCGGCGCCTCTGGGCAAATTTACGTGTTCCCCAATTCTGAGCTCGGCACTGCTTACCATGGAACTAGTCGAAGCAAAGAAGAGAGTGGTAATTAGGAATATAATATCAAACGACCTTCAAAATACTCAAAACCTCCTGGATACTGCAAAATGAGCTTGACTGGAAAAAAAAATACAAATCCGGCAAATTCCAGATAGTAAGAGACAGAGAATTGATTTCATTACTAGGAAAATTTAACATGAGACGAAGAAATAACTCTAGTTTCATCATTTCAAAGGAATGAATCTCTAAAATCGCAAGAAGCTCAGAAACGAAGTGATTTACAACTCAGCAGGTTACCTAGAACTCACGAAGAATTCGTGAATTAGTACGTTAAAACCAAACCTTTTATCGACTACTCCAAAATGGCGCTCATATACTCCGCTCAAGCCACCCCTATAGTGGGAGAGAAAAATTGAATAACCCGTGTGACCAAATACTAGCTTTCCAGTCAATTTTTTTACAAATCTTCATTTGTTTTTTTCGTCTCGTAATAATAATTTATTAAATCACATGTATTTTACAAATCTGTAACAGTTCTAAATAAGTGATACAAAAGTAATTGGCGATACTTAACTAAAAAAGACCTAACAAATAACTCAGGAAGAAAAAGAAAGGAACTATCGAAATAAGATAATATTTAGATTTTCCCTCTAATAGCTGCGATGGTGGTGTAATGGTGAGCATAGTTGCCTTCCAAGCAGTTGATCCGGGTTCGATTCCCGGCCATCGCACTTTCTTTTTTGCAGATGGGACGGTTGAGCGGGCTAATGCGTTGGGTAAAACATACGTTGCCCAGGAACCTGATAAACCAAAAATTACGTACTCATATCCCGATGCTAGGTCAACTTTTAGCTCTTGGAATAATTCCCCAACCTTTTCCTTGGCCCGAGAAACAGCAACCTAAAATAAAAGACAAGGAAGGGAAGAAAAAGAAATGGTCTTTGAGGCTCTGTTCTTAAAAAAAGAAGAAGGAAAACAAGTAGTAATCAAACGAAATATTTGAACAAAGGATATATTGTGACTGTTTAAGTGTTAATTATAGATATATGTATATATCTACACATTCCTCATATATTACTATATATGCGTTATGTCTTAATATGGTTCACGTAGAAATATTTCTACGCAATGAATATCTAATTCCTTTTAAATAAACAAATAAAGTATGTGTTAAAAAAACAATTAATTCTTTTTTCCCATACTTAACTTCGTATTTTTCCATTATCAAGTTTAATAATATTGCCATATATCGAAATATGACTGCTGGTAAAGATATTTATTGCTCAACGTCTTAAATATTAAACCTATTATAAAAAATATATATATTAGACCGTAGGAAGACCAATTCTTATTTAGCTCAAGTTGATCTAAAAAATTATAAAAAACGTAAGCATTATTATTCTTCAATCAATTAAATAAAAATCCATTTTTAGACTAGATGTTCTGATTGAGATTTAAATTAACTTGATCTTCTGCAATTTTTAGAACTTTTTCTACAAAATTATAGGTATAAAAAGAAATAGAGCTTTAATAAAATATTTCTTACAGAATCAAAGAAAAGTAAACAGAAACATAAATGGTAGTTTCCTGAAGAAAAAAACAAATGTTTGTTCACGGAAACTTAACTTTTTTTCCGAATCTTTTGTAGCGGCTATTGTTACAATTTTCCTGGACTAGCCATTGATCTATTGTTACCGCAGTAGCTGATGTTTCCCTTTTGTATGTAACAATTGTTAGAATGAATGAATACTTTACCCAATATTGTACCGTGACTTTTCTACTGGAGCTAAATAAAAATGTCTGTAATAAGCTTTCTTTTAAAAATCCAAAAACGAGATATCATGAATAGCTGTAGGCACAATACGATCATATACAAATCAGATTTGCGAGCCTTGAATCCTTAGCAAACAGCGATCGCAATCAATATGGACCCCACCTCCGCTAGCCAGCAAACCAGAGAATATTCCCCCGCCTAATTTGGAGCAACAGGCGAACGCCACGCGAGGGTTATAGCATTTGATCAGATTTATCGCCATCTAAGAATTTTGTCTACGATTATCTGCTTCATGTGAGGATTTTTTTTTGCTTTTTCTGTTGTTGTTTACATATTAACCTCATTCTAATACACATTTGGGTCTAAATAATAGTTTTTGGCAAAGAATAGAGTTTGGTATTTTAAAGCTTTTTAAATCGACACACCTGTCCCGAGTCACAAAAATCAAAGTGTACAAATCCTTGGTCCGACCAGTTGTGTGCTATGGAACCGAAGCCTGGACGATGAAAGTAGCTGACCAGAAGGCACTAATGATTTTTGAAAGAAAAATTATGAGGTGAATTCTCGGTACTCTATGCGTACAAGGAGAATGGAGGATATGAACA